TCAAATGTCTATTGATATGAAAATGATGTGGCAAGTAATGGGCCAATATGGAATATCAGGTAAAACCGATATCTCTTTGCTACAGTATGTTTTCTTGAAAATGTATTGGCATCGAAAAGTAAAATGGATTAAATCCACATTTTTTGTAGAATGTGTAAAGGAAATATGAATTTATCGTTCTGCATATATTTTCTTTTCTTTTTCTATACGTATATCACCGACGTATTTTAATATAAATAAAATACAACTGTACTGTAGAACACGAAAAATTCTTTTAAGCTTAAATTTTCGCATCGAACACTGTAAGCCATGGAAACTCACTGTTCTTCGACGCGTAAGCCAGTACTCACAAGTCTCGGACTTATCCAAGCTCAGAATCACCTGATTCTGGCTGAGACCAGAGAATAACTAAACAAATAAAACCAATAAACCTAGTACGATAAATCATCGGATAAAATCCTACTGTAATCCTACAATAGGATCTTGCAAGATTCTACAATCTGACCACAGGATCCTGTGAGAATCTTACATTAAAATTTTTTAGCTGTCAGGTCTTTTTACAGAATCCTACAAGATCCTATAAGATTTTCGTAGGATCTTACAGGATGCTGTAGGATTCTAAAGTGGGATCTTGTAAGATCTTGTAGCATCCCACGGTCGCGTAGGATTGCTTGATCTGAAATCTTAAATAATACTTGATAAAGTTTCTCCATTTTAGGAAACAACAAATACAAGTGTCCTCATTGTACGGCATCTAATATGGCTGAATTTGGAAAGTACTCTGCATTTGATCGAAAAAGAGGTGCACGCACACTTTAAATCAACAATATGAAGAGCTTGCAAGAGCAAAACCTCAATTTGGTTATCAACAGATACCTTTGTTTCGAAAAAAGCTCGAGTAAATATAACTGCGTCTAAATTTGGCAATAACTTTTAAAGTAGGGATCATGTCCAAAAAGATTAGTTTTTGTAAACTATAGTTACATAAAAGTTGGATTATTTTATCTATGTTGTGAGTTGCAAAAGAATCTGCCTAAAAAAACGGAAAACCGATAAAAATTGAGCGTCTATTGCATTTTCTCATGACACTTTTAACCATAAAAACATGTATTTCATTCCAGTTATAAAAATGTTGTCCCGGATGTTTTACATATGAAATTAAGAATATCAGATGTATTATTAGCTGAGATTATATCCTTAATTACCATCACAAGTACAATAGCTGAAAGAGCACAACATCTTCGAAACGTTTTAACATTTCTTGAGCAACGTGCAAAGGATATGAAGGTACGTAATGTATTACAATTAATTCTCATATTCTAAAAAGCTCTTGCCGTCTATATGTTGTAAAAATCGAACATAATAATTAGTTTTGTCCCATTTTTATCTTTAGACAAATCATAAATTTATTTTAACAAAAAAAAACGAAATTGAAGTATCTGGTAGATTAAATTCTCAAATGCATGAACGTTTTCTACGAGATTTACCATTAGATGCTATTATGAAAGACTATCAAAAAGCTTTTTTCATCAAAAAGTTATGTAATGATTTTTTTGATTTAATGAAATTATATTCTATTAGTGATATATATCAATATGTGAAAAACGAATCGATTAAATGGTGTCAACGTTATACAAGTTTATTTGGTGCTGCTGCTGTTACGATTTATATACATGTACTAGGAAATCATGCATTTGAGTTCCATCAAGAATATGACAATTTAGGTTTGTATACTTTACAAGGGAATGAAAAGTTCAACGACGTTACAACAAAAGACTTTTTTTTATCGACTAACAAAAGAAATTTTAACGATCAATTATTGAAAAAACGTATTCGTGCAAGGTTGATAGATATAGCATTAAAACCATCAGGATTAGCATTATTAAATAAATTGTTTTTTAACTGGAAAATAAACGATACTATATCAGCGCAAGAATCATCTCGGAACAGTTTTTTTTTTCTTAATGAAGATCCTCATCGTATCTACATTCGTTGTTAATATTGCTTTTATTTTATGTGTTAAATGTGTTCTTGTATTTTGTTAGTAATACTATAGCTTTTCTGATTCAGGTTTCTTTTTAATTAACCGGTGAATACATTTCGAAATGAATAGTAGTATAATAAACACCGAATGCATAACTATGTATTACGAGACGTTTCGTACAATATCTTAGTACATCCTCAG